ATTTCTAGAGATATTCTTGATTCAGTGTTTTGCCGTTTAAGTGGAACCACCTATGACGTCATCACTTTCTTCATTTGCATAATCCAAAAACGGAAATATCTCTAGAATGAAAAAAGGATATTCCAAAAAGGGAAACGCCATTCTTCTTCACTTTGAAAAGCCTTTCAAATAAGCAGCAATTAATTTTTTACTTCATAGGCACTTTAATGGAGACAGCCTGGGGTTGCCTAAGTGAAAGCCTTAAATTCCGTAGGATGTTTGTGGTAGCGGTGGTGGTGATTGTTTTCTGTAAGTCTGTTTGATATCAGCCCTATAAAACTGCAGATTTGAACTTGCAAATTCGCATGGCTGGAATGAGTACAGAACATTATGTTCAGAGTATGGTGGATGATACTGGCCAAAATTACACACAGCAAATGTCAAAAGCAGGAATGTGGTGTGACAATATAATTATCCTGGCAGTATCCAATGCTTTTAATTGTACTGACTCGAACGCACTCAGCTAATCGATGATTATTACTAGTTTATCGTGTTGAAACTCTGTATAACACAGTTGTGAGCGCTCGTTGGGACAATATTATTACACTGTGGCTAAATGATCGGCAGCAGTCAAAGTTTTCAAAATTATGACTGGTAGTCTCATATTTTTCTCAAATTTAAGGAATAGAAGGAACCGACCCAATTCAAAGTATGATATGCCAATTAGGAACTGTCAAGTGATCAAGAAAGCTTTACAGATCACAAGTCTAACGCTTGGTTTTAATACGCTTGGGAGAGTGAGACCATGGTTTTTGACACTTAGGTCGGCTGACGGTCACGGTTTTCACCGTGGGTTTTCAAAGCACTGAGTGACCGGCAGTCCGAGACTAGGGAATTGAACAAACCGATCATATCCAAACTAGTATATGTCGGATAAGAAGTGCGAAGCGATCAAGCAGATTTTTATAGATCTCAAGTAAAACTCTCGGTTCAGAGACGTTTGTGGATCGATGTTCCCTCGCAGATACGGTATATGTATCTGTGTCAGAGAATCCATGTACATCAAAATTAATATACATATGAAACTCACTTGAATGAAAATTAAATTGTCATGCTGTCACAAACTCGTGGTTTATGGTTATGATCGGTTCGTGCGATGTCCTAAAATTGTCAATAGTATTGTCGGTCATATTGAATGATCAAAACTGTGACCGGCAGTCGACCTAAAAAAAGATCTCAGTGTTACAAATGTCTCTGAGCCCAGCGTAAAGACTTAGACTTGTCATTTATAAATATCTGCTTGATCGTTTCGCACTTCCTATTCGACATATAATAGTTTGGATATGATCGGTTCGTTCGATTCCCAAAACTAGGACAATTTATTAATCATTTTGTTTACGAACTAACTTCAAACTTTAAATAAACAACTTATTCGCTGCGGTCCACAGTGAGCTGCCTCGACACTCGAAAGTCTGCAATACTGCACAACTCTCGAAAGAAAGCACATAACGAACAAGGAGACGACATCATTCGCCCCTAAATTTTTTTGGGGGGGTGGGGGTGGGGGGCAAATTGGTGTCCATAGAAAGAAAGATACACTCGATTTTTCCCCATTACCCGATAAGAACTGTGTTCTCTCGAACACAAAAAATACTCATTAAACCTATTTAGGTGCAACACTTGAGGTGTTTTGATGCCAACTACTAATTAACCAAAAAATAGGTCCGCAAGGCGTACTTGTGTCTTATGCTTAGTTTTATTCCATTCAGTTGGAGTGTTGTTATTAAATGTCAGTACCTGGGAGTTGAATTGCTACAAGTGGGAAGGTGGCCAAGTCGTTATAAATTTTAAGCGGGAAATTTATGGCAGAATACTGTTTACTTACTTAATATTAATATCCTCTAATAATAATTATTTATTTAGGTTTTAATCCCTGTGGGACATAACACAACAACAATCTCTCAATTTAACCCTATTTTGTGCAGCATTTTGGGCCTTGTCTTATGTGAGACAGAGTTTTAACTCACTGAGCTCGGCACTGTTTACACATTTCAAGTGAACTTGTATACGTAGTGTCAAGATGTTTTGCTTTTTAAATACATAACAACATCAATAACGGAGTCCCAGGTTTTTTTTTTGGTTTTTGAGTAGCAGGTTCACTCCAAAAACTAGGTGGCAAAGGTTTAGTCAAAACTTGCTGCGGAGCGGCTGGGCATGATGCGCACTGCGCATCGTTTGGGGAGAGTACGGAGGGGTTCGCCCCCTCCCATTGGGAAAATGTTTGAAAAATGATTCCCTGAAATTGAGTGTGGTGCTATTTTCAGCAAACATTGTGTACATTTGTAAGTCAGTGTTCATATAAAAACACAACAAAAAGGTTGGAGAGAACTGACTCACTCAAGCAAATTGCTCTAAAAAACAAACAACTAGAAGATGTCAATAATAAGAGGAAACATTTCATTTTGCCTCCCTTACTATTGTTTTTTTCTTGATTTATCTCGCTTTATTCTTCACTTCGTTTTAACAAGAGAATATGCTTGGTTTCATTTAATACAATGTAAATCACACTTGCACCAGGGTGAGGCGTGCTCGAGGCATGCTCAAGGCATGCTAAAATTTGCGGAGATAGCACTACAACAACAATAAAATATGTCACACTTTCTCTCATCTCACTTTAACGCAGCCACGCCGAGGGTAAGCGGTGAGCGCAAGCTGAAAATCCCTATGCTGCATGTCTTGTTCTGATGTTTAACATAAACATAAACAAGACATATATTTTATTGTTGTTGTAGTGCTAGCTCGGGATATTTTAGCATGCTTCGGAAAATCACCGGAAAGTAATCGTGCATTTTATGAGTTCGTGATGTACAGAAATGTATAATAGCATGGTGATTCGAGACAAAAGAAAATTATAATGAAGACAACAAACAACATGAGTGAAAATCAGCGCAATATTTTCCTTAGTTGACGCTGAAAATTAGCAGCCTTAAAATGTTTCAATTTATTTGAAACTCCGGTATTATGTTGAATATGGATTAATCTCACTGAGAGCCAAGTTTTAAAAAAAATTCGAGTGGTTTTTAATTCCCGCCCAATTTAAGAATTTTAGGGGCAATTTTTGATAAAAAGCAAAACAACAGCCTACACCAGTTGATATTCAAGCCATAGTTTCTGAAAGTCAACCGGAGCGATTTCTCCGAGAATTTCACTTGAGGTAATGATATGTTTTAAGATTCATTTTAAGACCAGAATACCATTTAGTCAAGTCTTGTGGACATAATTGGCAATAACATTTAAAACAGCTTTGTTTTTGCTGTATTTTGACACCTTGAAACTTCACTCGTAATTTTCTCGAAAACGCTCCTATAGATTTTTTTAAAATTTTGCCATCATTAAGCCATCTATGTCAAGTTCGAGATCCTGACGTTGTGTTCCAAAAATATCCCTGGTGGCAAGTTATTCGGTCTTATGTAAAATGGGGTATGGTGTAATTTCGTTGCTATGGTAACTCAGATCTTGCTGAAATATATCCTATTTGAAACTTTCATCTTTCTCTAGCACACTAGTGACGTTCGATTTTCGTTTGGATTGATAATGGTGCTGGTCTAGTCACTCAAAGTTGATCGGTATTGTTACTCAAAACTCCGATTGAGCTACCTTAAAGCGAATGTATTTGTCACACGCGTTATCTGATAAGCATCTCATCGGGACTACGCTTCTAAATTAAATATTCTATGTTAACCCTGATGTTTGTATATTTAATAGCTCATGCTAAGCCATTTTGTGTGTTTATAAATTTCGAAAATTGCTACATCACTTCAGAAAATACAAAGGAGTGTATTTATTCCGATTAAAGTAAGGGAAAGCGTAGACTGAAGTTACTCTGCAGTTTTGTGCAGGATATCGGCCAGTTTCACAACGCCGACGGCCGTGATGTTAGTAGTTGTGTAAATAAGTCTATTTCAATCTAAATCTATTTCAAATCTAAATAATTCATTTTGTAATAATGAATTACTACAAAATAAATGACCGAAAAGAGCAGAAAACTAAAAGAAAATACAAAAAAACGATGAACTAAAACGGCTTACCAAATGCTGGAAAGGCGAGGTTCAGGGAACCAAAAATGTTACAGGGGTAACGGACGATAAACTGACTCGAATGAAAATGGAAAGATAACATGAATACATACGAAGCTAGAAATAAAAACATACAGAACTGAAAAGAAAACATGGAAAGATTTCCATATAACCCCATACATTTATTATGCATACAGTTCTTTGTTTAATTAAACAATAGCGAAAACAATAGCACTCCTTTGAGACTTACCTGATTTGAATACCTCTAAATTTTACCATTTTTGACCTTCAATTAACTTACAAGTTTAATGAGGAATCACTCTTTTATTAGCTGTTCCTCACGATCTCTCAAGAGCCAGAAATAGCATGTAAAGAAACATTGAATTCAATATGACAACAAGCAAGGGGAGGTGCATGTGACATTGAGACCACAAATATATTGCATCCATAAAATTATGATACCTGGTCAGCATCAATACATTGAATATCAGTAATACTTCTTATAGGTCCAAGAGCAGCTTCTCGACAAAGGTTTGCCATGTCTGAGCCTGAATAACCTGCAAAATAATCACAACATACTAAAATCTCTTATGTTAAGCTCAAGGTAAAGAAACAAACAACAACACTTGCTTTCTAATCAGAGATCCTCAATTAATTTGGTCACATGCATTCCTAACAACTGAAGGAAAAAGAAATCCGAACTACATTAACTGTCCTCTACAAAAACTGAAAGGCACAGAGGCTGGGAAAAGAAGAATGAACAAGCAAAGAAAACCTTATAGCACATGAACCAGCATTGCATACTTCAACCTAGCTATTTAACACACATACCGTGTGTTCGTTGAACTATTTTAATCATATTTTGCTGGGACAGGCTGCACTTCTGTTGTGACAAAAGACTGCACATGATTTGCTCCCGTGCACCAGCATCAGGAAGGGGAATGTACAGTCTCTTCACAAGTCTACGTCTAGCAGCTTCATCAATCTCTTGAGGCCTGCAAGTAAAAAAAAAAGATCTGCCAATTTCTCCTCATAAAAACATTATTGAATGTTTCATTTTCAATGGAAATCGGAAAACATCCAACTGCACCTACAATATCAGAGTTCGAATAAATATGTAAAGCCCTGCCGTAGTTGCTCACTAGCAAAAATTCAGATTTAGACAGTAGGTTATGTGACACAACTAGCATCTTTGGCTACTGACTTAACAGCTACGTGTACTTAAACAAGGTTAATGAATGATATATTATATGTAGTTACAGTGATAAGAGTTTCTTTTAATTGCAGATCTTGTGAATTGTGGCAAGGCATGGAAAACAATTCTCTACCAAGAAATATGGCCAAAAAAACAGCGTTTTAACTGGACACATACAAGGGTTTTGCATGTCTTCCTTACAGCAGCGGTCTGACTGTAACAACTAAATTCGAGCGGTGAGCAAACCACTCAAAACCCCCAGCAGGAATTTCCGTCTCCAAAGTTCAGGCAACCTTTAGATCAACGGTGTAATGTAGTCAACAGAATCCCGTGTTCAGATTGTTCATGGAATTACACAGGAGGGACTGGAAGATGTTTCAAACGCCAAAAAAGGAACATCAGAGAAACCTGAAAAACTATATGAAGGGCTCGAACATTGCCAACCATGCGTGACAAAATAATCACTCAATTGACTTTAATAATGCTAGTGCCAATGCCAAAGGCAACCACCGCATTCGAAAAACATCAGAATCCTGCATACTGCTAAAACTGTCGGCACGGATAACAACTCATAACTGTTGCCTAGGCAATATTTCATTTTACTGTAACGTCATTTACATTCTTTTTAGCTTTTTTCACACTACTTTTGTATCTTAGCTCTAAAATGTATATATTTCCATTCGCGCACAAGTATTTTTTTATTCATTAAAGGCTATAGACTGACAGCTGAAAGCTTACGTTTTTAATCTTTTTACCCAGAGAACGTTTTTACCTGTTCTATAAAAACATCATTTTGGTTGGTAAAATCTGTCATTAGCCAGAAAGCTTGTGACAGTTAGTCTCGAGCTTCCTTAAGCCCTGTATACCCCACTTACAGTGTATTTGCCCAGTGTCATTGTTTTTTTTATGTATAATCATAATTATATCTAATAAGTAATTTTGGACTGTTTTTTTTCTCATGTAGTTATCAATAAGTTTATTGTGTACACCAGTTAACTTAACGTGGAAGTGACCAACCTGAAAAGTCTTAGCTCCTTTGGCCACTACAAACATTTTACTTACTTACTTACTTACTTACTTAGGCCCATCGTTCCAGGTGGAGTATAGGCCATCAACAACTCCTCGTAGCGAAATTGACCTTAGGCTTTTCGTTCATCTTCTTTCCAGTTATATCCTATCAGCTTCAATTCCGCATCAGTGTCCCATCTTCAGCTGTTTCTGGGGCGTCCCCTCTTCCTCTCCCCTTGAAGATTCCACCTCAGAGCTTGCCAGGCAATGCTGTTTGGTGCTTTCTGCAGGGTGTGGCCAATCCAGCCCCATTTTCTTCTCAAAATCTGTTCACCTACCGGTTGTTGTTTCCCTCGCTGCCAAAGCTCCACATTGGGAATTTTCTCAGGCCATCAAAGATACGTCTCAGGCAACTCTTTATGAAAGTCTGGATCCTCTGGAGTGCCTTTCTTGTCCACCTCCACGTCTCAGATCCATAGAGGAGAACTAATTTTACATTGGCACTGGAGATTTGTAGCTTTGTTTGTGTCCTCATTTCTTTAGATCGTCAGATGTTTCTGAGCATGTTAAATGCTACCTTCACCTTACTAATTCTTGCTGCTACGTCTACATTTGTACCTCCTGGTTTGTCTATAACACTACCAAGGAATGTGCAAGAGTCTACCTACTCTAACCGCTCTCCTTCCACTGTGACTGGATTTTCTTTGATGGTGTTGATCCTCATGAACTTTGATTTACCCCTATTGATCTTCTGTCCTATTCCTTTTGATGCTGCTGCCAGTCTAGTGGTCTTGCTTTGCATCTGTTCATGGTTATGTGAAAGAAGGGCCAGGTCATCGGCAAAGCCTAAGTCCTCCAGCTGTGACCACTGAATTCCACTGAATTCCATTCTTTGTTCCCTCGGTGGTGGTCCTCAAAATCCAGTCTATAACAAGATGAAACATGAAAGATGATAGCAAGCATCCTTTTCGAACGCCAGTCGTGACATTGAAGCAGTCTGAAAGCTGGCCTCTGTACACCACTCTGCAGGGACATTCCCTCATAAGATTGCTGAATGATTGTAATGATCTTTTTAGGGATACTGTAGTATTTAAGAGGTTTCCAGTGTGGCTCTGTCCACACTGTCAAAGGCCTTCTCATAATGAATAAAGTTGATGTAGAGAGATGAGTTCCGTTCCGATTGCTCTACTATGATGCGGTGTGGCACTTTGATCACTGAATGACCTGTCCTTTCTAAAACCTGCCTGCTGGTCCCGTAATTGACCGTCTACTGCTGCCTTCATTCTATCCAAAAGAATTCTGTTTAGGACTTTGCCTTGTATTGATAGAAGTGTGATCCCCCTATATCGTTACTGCAGACCCTCAAATCTCCTTTCTTCGGTAGTTTGATGACGAGTCCCTCCTTCCAGTCCCTTGGAATGTCTTCCTCCTTCCAGATGATCTGAAACAGTCTGTAGAGAGCTTCAGTGGAGGTGCGTACATTTTACTTTCTATTTATAGTAACGTTTGTTTCTGTGTTGTTGTAATTAATATTATTGGTATGCAATATTTATAGATTGATAGTTAACAATATGTAAATAGTGCAAAATAATAAAAATTCTGAAATCTGAATCTGTTAGTGAAATTCTCATTTTAATAACATTGGTTGTGTTGTTTACTTCTGACATACTTTTATCCACTTCAGAGCAAATGTACACAAGAATCAAAAATAGTTTGGTAAGGCTTGAAGAATAAAATTTGCCCTACTGCTGCATATAAGTAGGCCTTAGTAAAAGTAAAAACGCTACGTAGTTTTTTTCTTCAAATATCTTGGTATTTCCGAGAAAAAGGACATTATCGGTTTTCACGTCCAGACATCAAGCTAGCGAGTTCTAACTGGGTTGAAAATTGACCATTTTCATGCGATTCGCATTTCGCAACTGTTGAGCACAGAAAAGTTGTAATACAACCAACTTAATGCAGAACTATACCTTGTCCAAAAAAGAGCCGTCTCAAGAATATTGGATTTATCTAACTATTCAGTGGTAAACAAAACCAAAGTGTTCTCCAACGATGAGTTCATCAGTCGGTGAAAACAATTGTCATTTTGACCATGTGCAATGTCTCAGAATTCCACAAGATTTTAGATTCTAACTATACTAGGATAGGTCTTTCAATATATGTAAAGTTTAGTTTGGGCAAATGATTAGGCA